TTTCCAAAATGCAATGCTCATAGAACTCAAGTTTGTTGACTTTTCAAGCAGATTCTGGTTGCTCATCAGTTGTAGATACTTCTCACCAATATGGCCAAGCCTTTGGTGCCAAAGTGTAGTTTTGATCTCAATTTAGGAACTTACAACTCACACATCTCCATGGAGAGTATTTTTGATAAGATAATAAAAACCCGCTATCTTGACACTCTTCAAAATAATAACACCTTTTGCAATATACATAGAATTTGCTCTATCTTATTGATATAACCCAAGTCATCAAGTCATAGAGATGAAATTCTTAAACATTGATGGTACATATCTAACATTTTCAAGAATTATCACAACATCATCAACCATCTTAATGCTACCATATGCTATACAAGCAATTAAATAACAATGGTTGTTATCTATTATGACCTTCCCTTCATCGAGTTCCTGGTAGTATGACCGCCAAAGTTTGTTGTGTGTCATATGATAAGGTGCAATCAGAGTCAAGGATCCAGTTCAAGATCTTGAGATTTCATGACCTCATGAAAACTTTGCCATCGTTGTAGCCATCACCAAAGTATGATGAATCTTGATGACCTGGTGATGAGCTAGCTTGATTTTCCTTGTTCTTCTTGATACATGAGTATAAATTCTTCTTGTTTTGACCCATCTTGTTGCAATAGAAGCATTTTTTGTTAGTGTTAGGTTGGAACTCCGGTTGTTAGATTTTGTAGGTGCTTTGCCGTGATTCTTGGGCTTCAAGTTGCTTCCATCAATGTTCTTGCATTGCTGTTTGCCACGAGCCATGTGGTTTTTGCCATCATCGAAGATCTTCTTGTCTACACTGATTGCCAAGTACTTAGATTTGAGCGTGAATATCATTTCATCTAGGATGATCAATGAACTCACGTACTTGATTGCTGATTTCACTTCCCTATATGCCTTTGGAAGAAAATTCAAAAGAATGATGGTCTTATTCTCGTCGCAAATATCGCAGTGCCGTCAAATTTCTTGATGTCAATTCTCATAGTCAGTGAAGTATTTCAAGAATGGAGACTCAATACGCTTTGTTATGACGAATTCGTATTGATACTTTGCCATGAAAGATCGTTGCTCCTTTTTGGCTTGTCGGTGAGTTCTTCGATGCAATTTGATGCTTTTGCGTCCGCCAAAATGAATCGAACGTAGAAGACGGAATCAACAAAGCTATGAAATCAAGTTTATGCTACAATGCTCTAATACCACTATAAAAATTTAAATTTCCAGAACCAACAATAATAACAGTTCATACACATAAACATACACAAGAATTTGTTGACGAGATTTAGTTCTAAAGACTACTTTGCGTGAACTACTCAATGAAGGTAGTTCAAGTATATAATCAAAATCAATGTAGTCAAAATTTTACTTTTCACCATCTTTATAGAATTTCAATCCGGTGCAAAATAAAGACAAAGATCATTATCTTGTTTCCTGAGCAAAATAAACACTTCCTCACATGATTATCTTTTTCTCAATTTGTTTTCCAATTCTCACATTCAACTTTTCTTGAAATACTCAAAATGTAATGAATTTCTTAATCCGTGGGCTTAGTTTAAATCACACCGACTTATAACGTAAAAGTATCAAAATGAATCAAAGTCGTCAATTCCTAAACAATCTATAGGATATTGACACATCAACAAGCTGATTACTGAACAATAAAAACAAAAAAATCTAAAGAAAATTGACATGTAACTGAAGATAAAATCTCACAGAAATAAACGTAATAAAGTTAACTTTTAAAACTAGAACTAAATCTTAGCCAAAACATGATAGAAAAAAAAATAAAGAAGTAACAAAAAATTGATAGTAAATCACTACTTGTGTTAATCATGAGACTTTTGCATGAATATTTATGATAAACTTGCATAACAATGCATGAGCTGGATTGAATTATTGTAAATTTTATTAAATCAATACTTTTATCAAAATGTTTTTCATGTGAATTGCATGTATTGTCAATCTTAATTAGCTCAACCTTTTTATCAAAAAATTTATCATATAGGTTAACGTGATATTGATGTGTTTCATTTTATTCTACATCATTTCATTTGCAACAAGAATGTATTGTTATATGACTATCACATTAAAAATTACAACGTATTGTTTCAATACCATTTACCACAAACAATTGTTTATGTTTCTTTCGCTCGAGCCTTGATGATACTCACTTTTAGATCACTTTTGGATGATCATGACTAGACTATATAGCCTTGAAGATAATGAACGACAAAACGAGAAAAGCGAATTACGCTCGTCTGTGCCCTTTGAGTGCACGTGCGATAGGACGTGCGCTAATTGCTCAAAGCTTGGTACCCAGAGGCAAGATCCGTATTGACACTTCGACCGAGGAAAACGAACATATGAGATGAACAAGTATGTACATGAAGCTTACGTCTTTGATGTACATGAGTATTGGATTGAACTCGACAAGATTTTTGGAGTGTTAAAGGACCACTATTAAGACATGGTGCTATCGATTAAATTTGCAAGATTCAAGCATTGCACAGCACTGTACATGATTAGATTCATATAAGTTATGTTGTGCCATACCACAGCAAATGAATGTCAAACTCGTTTAAGTTGTTGGCCGAGATTCGCACCTTGCAACGGTGATTCTGGGACGTGTACCGTAACCTTTGACTCCCATACAATCCTCGAGTGTTGTTTCTTGCTATTTCTCAATTCAATCTAATATCAAGTAGTGTGACGTATGACAATACATTCATACAAGAAAAACAAAGTATACATCGTTTCCAATGTAAGCTACATCCACAAAAACACACAAATAAATAATGTTTAACACAAAAAGCAAATTTGTCGCGCTAAAGGTACTTGACTCTCTTAATGATACGCATATATTATTCATGTTTGTTAAAAGTATATCAGCACATAAATTGTAGCATAACATTCAAATCAGAGATGTTTTATCTCATGTTATGAAATATACATAACATGTGAACATAATTTGAATATATTGATTCATTAAATTTCAGATGTTTATGATATATATCTTTTTAAGTCTTTTTGAGTGATTGTTATATAACAATTACTCAAAAGATTGATCATACTTCAAAATCAATGAAATTTTTTTGTTAGAAGATTTATGATGTATCATCAATTACATTGATCTAAATTTTTGTGATTTTACATCATTAATATTTTCTGGTCATTTCATACAAAAATATATTTATATGAGATATTTTTCAATTTGATAAGATTGATTACAGAAAAATCAAATTTAAAAACTTACAACTGAAATATTGAATATGTATATATAAGAATTTCACAAATAAATATAGGGAATTGCTGGGCACAAACCCCCCTTTGCTAGGCACACACCCCCCCTCAAAAGAGGGATGACCGCCCGTGATCTTAATAGCACGCTTAGATCGACAGAAGTAGCCGTCTCACTCGCAGAGGCGGACGACGAGCGCCAGCTGACAACAGCACTCGACGGGATCCATCCGCGTTCGAACGTGTTCTCAATTAGGTACCTTCCAAAGAAAAATTGCAGCGTTTCCGCCTTGTTTGCCGAAGCGCCGGCATGTTTGGACTCGTAAATAGCTTTTACCCCTTGTTTGACGAAGCGCTGGCATGTTTCGACGGAGAAATGTTTAGCTTTTGGTGATTTGAGCGCATAAATGTGCTTTGTGGACGAGTGGATGTATGCACAGGAGGGGGAGGGGGGGTGTGTGCCTAGCAATTCCCTAAATATAGCGTATAGTGTTTCTCTTAGATAGTTTTGATGTGCATAATCTATAATTTATGGTAGAACGATCATTTGAAATAAATTCATACAATGTGATGATATACTTTTATTTGAACTTGATATTTTTTTGATTATTAAGATTCTAATACCATAATTAGATTATAATCTTCAAAAACGTTTTTCATGAAATAATTATGATAGAATGATGTTACAAATTCGATTTAGAATATAGAATAGATCCGGTTGAAAAATTATGATCTCAAAAAATGAACTTTACGATTTTTGCTTTGGTTTGCCAAAGAAAGTAGATTTTTACCACAAAGTTAATTATTTTGAGTTACTTATAATTGTCTTGATTGTAATTTTAAGCATTAAAGATAATATGAAGATAAATTCCTAATAAAATATAAGAATTTTTTTTGGAAAGATTCATGCACTAGGTGATAGTTCTTATGTTTAGCTCCACATCTAATTTTGCATAGAAAATTTCAATTTTATATCGTGATGCATATTAACTCTAATTGCGCTTATCTTACTTAGTTATATCCCAATTAGAGTCCAAGACTTTACTTCAAATTTGTATGGTGACCAGAACATAACCATTAGTAGGTAGCTATGTCCAATCATAACATAACCTGTGTCCACCCATGCTTTTGATGAACTTAATTCTCTTTAGTACATTCTAGACTAAGTGCAAACAAGATGGGCTGAGGTTCGTTTAGTCCACTCTGTGCTTGTCACTCATTATTAATCTCTCCGATAAATACTTAAAAGATCTATTATTCACGTGCTCAGTTTTCTAAACTCAAGTTAATGTCAAATTTTATATTAATACATGGTATTGACATGACAAACCCGTTAGATAGAGATCTCAATATTGTTCTCCACCTCAACAATATTGATGACCGTGGGTACTATGACCATCCATATCCACCGGAACAATAATCACCCATGAATAGTAATGGCACCCAATGTTGGGCTCTGGGGTCGATACCGATGCCAATACCTCCGACATAAAGTAGAGTATTTAGCCATAGCTGTTGTCACATTGCATTTAATAATAAACACAACTTCAATTAATAGTCAATGTATGATATTTAATTTTCCGGAGGATGTTTCAACTTCGGAAGGAAATTCTGAAAATTATGTCTTCTCACATTAATTGGCAGAACTGTTCAGGTGAAATTGTACAAATTTCTATTGAATTCCGCTGGATTTTCTCGAACTTCCGTAATCCTAAAGTAAAGTGGAAGTTTGGAAGAAAGGTACAATATCATCGCGCAACTGATGCACAAACCAGCTCAGCTGGTGACTATTATCTGGAGTTGTCCAGAGTTGGCCAGCGTAACACCGTTTGCTTTGTCACCACTAACTTGCATTTAGAAATATATTTTCTGGCCTGATTAAGCTTTTCTAGACGCAGAACGAGAGTCATTTTGCAAGTGTCCTTCCATTCGCTACCATGCCAACTGTGACAGTTCTCACTGTAACGATTTCTTTCGAGACCAGTGAACAGTCAGTCCAAAACGTTGATTCAAAGGAAAAATTGAAGCTAGAATCTGATACGCCAAGGTGAAACTACACAGTCGATCGGCATCGACACGCAGTGTGTATCCGCACTAACGTTGAGTGAAGTGCATTAAGCTCTGAGTGAATTGTGGTCATCGAGATCCTGAATCGGGAAACCATTCGTTAAGGAATACAATGCAAATTGGATTAGGAGTCACTATCAGGTTCGGAAAACTCAGGGAAAGGAGTCTTAATTCGAATACTCCTCCTGGTTAAGATGTTGAATATGAGAGAAGTTCTCTGGCATCGCAATTCTGAGAAGCTATGAAGCAGACAAAGCTTCAAGTTTAGTTGATAGCTTGAGATCTGCTACATTTGTCATACCTTCTCGGAGAGGGCTCTTGAGAATGTATCACACGGTGGAGGACACGTCATAATCGACGAGTGTGGACAGTGTACTACTGAATCATATAAGCTCACTCCCCTGCCAACTTGTTTGAAAGTTGCTGTCTTAATTTGGTTCGAAGAGAGGAAAGAGTCAGCTCGAAGCCATTGCCCGATGGATCAGAAGCTTGTGCGATGCATGACCGCCTTGAAAGATGAAGCAGAAGCAGCTCGTATGGGTGCCAGCGCTTCTGATCTTAATTCTCTTATATCCGACGTTGCTGACTTGTGCAAACAAGCTCTGTCGGACGAGGACGTTTCTTTTGCACTAGCCTTGGTCTTTGACAGAGAAGATGGTATTTTTTCTATTGTGCAGTTGCTTCTGTCCATCAAGGAAAGATCAGTTGTCAAGGCTAGGGAGACTTCTTTAAACTTTGTCTCCGAGTTCATTGAAAAGGTTGGCGAACGTATCCTCCCACACGTTTCCTTTCTGAAGGTAATATCTTTCTACATCACAAGAGTATCAGGCTGCCCGTTGGTGTTGAACATTTTTGCTCCAATGTTTGGAAATTCAAAACTGTCTCATTGGTTCAAACATTAATTTTCTCTTCTAAGAAAGTTACTATGAAGCATTTCGAGCTCATTAGTAGTAGCTTTTGCTGTTTTTCGGAACAAATTTTCTCCCAGCTTTTGCAGTCATATGGTGTTTTAAATTATGTTTAGAATCTATTCTTAAACTTATAATGCTATTTGAATGTAATCCTCAGGAAAACTGCCTACTAATATTCCGAAGGGATGATTCGAAAGCAGTTCAGGCTGCAGCCTTATCCCCTCTACTTTCGCTGCTGGAAACAGAAATTACTAGGAAACACATAACGGTTGCCAATTTAGATTGGACTTTTGGAGAGGTACTACTGATTGAGTATCGCAAAGCCAAAACTTCTGGCACCTGTATGCAATCTACACCATCTTCTCTTTTTGGCCATAATTTTAAAGTTTGATGATCCCATGCATATTTTTACCATCTGATATACCTTCTTGTTCGGTGGTTTTTTGTTGATTTCTCATGTTGTTCCTTCTGTATCGTACACTAACTAGGTTGTAGGACCTGTGTTGACAGTAAGATCAAGTATTCTCATATTGCTGGGATATCTTGTCGAGTATTTTCCTCATACATTCAGTGAGGAGAATGTAAATACCTTGCTGAAGATATGTTTGGATACGTTGGAGGAACAGCTTCGGCAGTCAAATAAGGATCCCTTGTTTGTGCTGGTTTCGGGAGTGATAAAATGTTTAGACTCATTACTGTCCTGGTTCGATGACTCACTACCAGCAGGAGGTACTCTTTCGACTTTTACTTTTGTAATATGTGAAATGCAAGTTCTTTTCTTTCCATAAACAGCAAGAAAACAGCAAGAAATACAAATTTCGTTTTCTTTACCTTCGACTGGTTACAGTTGACAGGAAGAACATGATGGTACTCAGTCTCAGCATGTACTCTACAGATATTCGCAGTTGTGCAGTGAATGTTCTATCATATCAGAGTATTGTGACTCTAAAATTGTAGTAAGCAGGCTTTTACTCAATTTTCTGACTGAAAGAGGAAACAATCATTCTTTTCTCAAGATCCATGACTTAACAAGTTGTTCCCCTCGGACTGCTGAAGGTTCTGTTGAGGCCTCCAGAAAGATCTACATATTTTTGCTGCAAGTTGTCTACTATCGAGAGGATATCAAGCGCTATGAAGTGGTCAGAGGTGGGTAATAAAGCCTTGGAAATGCCTTTTGAAACTAGAGTCTCATCAGTATGCTGTATCTGGTAAAGCCAAAGAAGGGCCAAAGGTCGGAAATTGGCTAGTCTTCAAAGTAGAACCTCTCCCTATAGTCGAATGTCCTTTGAGTCATTGGCGCAAAGGTAGCAGGATAAGATTGCTGTTCGTAAAAAAAATCCTATTTATTCTATATTTCGTTGGAATCCAGCAATTTAAAAAGATTCTAACAATTGTTCATGTCGAATTTCTCCTGAAGCTGGTTTGAGGTTACTTTCAAGACATGCGGGTCGTTTTGCCCTACGACTGGTCGAAGATAGCAAGGACATACTTAGCTGGTTGCAAGTCTACTGGTTAGTGATTTTGGCATTCTTTCGATTCCAATCCGTACTCTCACTTAGCTTGGCAAACAATCTTCAGTGAACCACGAGGAGGAGTTTAGCAGAGTCTCTTAATTTGAAGGCTCTTCTGTTGGTTCCTCAAAGGCGCCCCATGTTTTGCAGCATACATACAAATGCGCCGCTGAGAGACGCAGGTATTCTAGCGTTCAACGAGTTCATCTCACAAGTATGTTCTACACCAGTCAAAAAATTAGCGTGTCAGCTCCTAATATCCTATCAACATTGTGGAAAGTAAATTAGAGGCGGATAATTAGATTACTATAATAACAATAAATTAGAGGCAGATTTTCCTTCTGATATCAAGCAGCTTCGTTGAATTTTCCTTACAGTGGACATGGTGTTTGGAATGACAAGTTTTATGTTGCAAATGTCTACAATAAGGTCTCAAATTGTCTTATCCACGAGGAAAGCAGATTACAGAACGTTCAAGAGCGCTATAAAGTAAGTATCCCTTGACACCTGCATCGTATGTAAATTGCCAGCTGATCAGGGCTGGTGAGAAAATGGATGATATTGACAGTAATTATCTTCAAATGCTTATCTTGAAGTGATAGCTGATTATTACCGCCAAGTTGAGTTCAGTTTATGTATTGTAATGGCCTTCAGGATGTGACAGGCACATGAATGTTTACAGCAAGATATGAGTAATTATTGAACAGCAGAATCAAAATGTGCAAACTTCAACTCCTGTCTTGTGATATAGCAAGGTTCAATATTATGATGAAGGGTATTTTTCAATACAGGAGTTGTGCGATACCTTCTAACGTTGGATGCTCTCAAATCCAATATGTGCAGCACTTCATGACAACATTCTTCGACATTCTGGATGCCCCGTCTGTGGATAAAATGTTACTATCCCTCGCGATACGAGGTGTGGGGAAGCTTTCACCTCTAATTGTGAAGTATTCTGGGAAGGAAACCCTTGAAAAAGTGTTTCATAGGCTCTCGTCTCTCGGTGGAACCACCACAACAAGGTAGTCTCGGTCTCGTCTTTTGACATTGAATGAAGCAGATTGAGCCCGCAAAGTATGCGACACAAGCAATTCTTTCATTCTTCTTTTGCTGTGCTTTTCGTTATTCTACATATTTCCAAACTACTCTAGGTGATATCCTACAATTCTCTTTATATCTTAGACACAGAATACGTCATACTTGAATCCTCCGTTCCATTTGAGAAAAGTCGTGTAGTTAAGCAGGTTTTTACAAAGCCAGGATTTCCGTTATCTTACAGTATTTGTTACATTTGGATTGTCGTCATAGTCATGCGTGATCCTTACAGAGATAAATGGAACTGTAGAGGCGGGGAGGTATATGAAAATTACATTGGGCATTCTGTGATCTTGATTGGAGCTTTTGCGGACATTGTCAATCACTTTGATCGTGTCGAGGACTTCATGGTGTCCTTTATCGCTGAGGTTAGGCATTCAAGCTTTGAAGTGCTTGCGCTACGTGAAATGTTTCTCATTGTGGTTCAATCACTTTCGTGAGTTCAGGTATAGGACGATAGAACATCAATGACGGAAGTGTTGGTTTGAATATGCTTCATATCGTATCAAGCACATTGGCAGTATCTTCTGTCTTATCTAATCACGTTGTGCATCATCTATACAACGTAGATCGTAGATCGATTATGTAGGACTCTTTGCAACTCTGCCTCTGATGATTGTGTCCTCGCAGAATAACTGAAAACTTATTTAGGAATTTTTTTTGCTCGATTCAGGTGACTGGCAATATTTTCTACCAGTTTCCCGAACTTTATCCGAAGCAAAAGCAGGGCGTATACAACACCATGTCTGCGTTTTTTAAGGCCATGTATCCGAAGGGGCCTATCTTTTCGATCTTTCTCAGTAACGTTGGTAAGTAACCTGTAATACTTGAATTATATGGAAGCAACTCCGCATGTTTATTTTCTTGAACAATTTCAGGTCGAGTGTGAAGTAAGACCGGTTCTTTGCCAATTGTTTGGCAATCGTGGCCACTGGGAGGACATCCATCGGGTAATACTGAATGCAGGAGGTGATTCATATGCGTTGAGAAGATTGGCACAGTTGGTTGTTATCCATTTAAGTCAGTTCATGAAGCTAGGTGCGGCCATTAACTGTACGTCCTTATCCTGCGTGGCTGTGATGCTGTCTGGTAAAGTTTGGTCTACACTTGAAAGGACAATGGAGACATCAGAAGGAGTGTCCGGGGACGTAGGGCTGCCACTTTGGCCTCACTACGTTGAGCTGTGGTCTTCCCTTTTGGATTCGTTAAAAGTATCAGTCGGAGAACAAGGTGCTGTTCCTGTTGCCGAAACAGATGATGAACATATGTCTGGTGAACTTCTTCTTGGAAATGGAACCACGGATGTTACGGAGATTCAAGGACTAGTATTTGACACGATTGTACGAAGTATCATGAAGGCTTTGACTGAGTTGAATCTCAAGTACAGAGTGAGGGCAAGCAACAGTTTGACATCTGCCCAAGGTATGACCTGGCAGTTTCGATGACCAAAGTAGAGTATATTGCTCCTTAGATGTATCAAGGTGCTGAGTAATCAATCGCCCCAAAATTAAGGATCATGAAAATACGATCTCGACTTATTATAATCATGCATGCACATTTAAACAAAACCATCACGCAGAAGTTTCCGATTTCGATCATTAAGTCACAGAAGGTAAGAACCTGAGAGATCTGTTTATTCCTGCTTGTGTTTAAACGCGCAGTGTTTGAGCAAATTAATAAATAGTGTCGCTAATTTGGTTCTGTTTTCCGTGCAATTGGCACAGAAGAAGCAGATTCCTCCTTGGTGGAACCGGAAACTGAGCTCGAAAATATTGAGCCTCTGAATCTGGTGCACATGCGCAAGTACCTCAATCTGGTAACGATACAGTCGAGACTTAGGGGTCTTCATATAGACTTCCTTTCATTTCTTAATTATGCTTAAGTGTAAATATGCTGAGTGGATAATCTGTTTACAGATCTATCATGTCTTCCAGTTAGCTTGCACATCTCGCTGATAGTGGAATATATTTTTGTAAACATTAGGTCGTTCAGATGGTAAGTTGATTCTGTATTTTTCAGGTGGAGTTTACCCAGGACTTTTTGTCACGGTAAGATTTTAGCTTTGTACATGAATTTGGACTGGGAAGACCTTCATATATTCTTATCCGCCGTTAGACTTATTTCTCGAAACCTTGTTGCTCAATTGGTCGCAGAACTTTCTGACTGTAGTTACTAAGTATCGTACGCGTATAAACATTGTGAATTTTGCAGTCCCTACGCTCATCTCTTCATGAAATGGGTTCATCCCTTTTCATGCTGTGTGATGGAGCTTTCACATCAGTATCCTCTCATCAGTGGAAATTACAAGCTTTTGACAATCACTATCACAGGGGCAGACTCCATCGGTTTTTTCCAATCTAAAGATCTGTGCAAAGTTTCAGGACATGATGCTGATGAGATGGTAACAGAAGAGGTATTACCGAAGCAATTTCTAACGTTCCTCTTTTATGAAACCTACAACGTCGGCTAGGATGAGAAAATGACCTTGCAATCTCAGGGAACAAAGTGTAACGATACTAAAGTTTTAGAATCTGCTTCTAGATCTCAGCAGTGCTGAAAAGCTTGAAGACACGTTCACACTCTGCTAAGCAGATCAATGCAATACTCATGAGATACTCATGAGATCTGTAACGCTGTTTTCTGTGCTGGTGGGGATGTGCTTAGCAGACGTCTACGTTTGTCCATTCTCTTCCACTTCGGTGGAAGGGTTGTGGATAGACTAAGTGAGAATTTAAATTGCTTCAGTATCATGGGTGCAGGAGTGGAAGGTTCTTCTTCGAGCACCAAAAGATCAGTTAGAACCGCAGAGAGGACTACCTGTTTCTTCAGAGCACCAGCGCCTTTGCCAGCAGTTGTTCCGCCATTATCTTCAGGAAGTATTGGTTGCCAGTAGGCGGTATAAGCTTGAACTCTTGGCATCGTGCCTGCGGCTTTGTCTATCTGCTCCTCCGGTGCTCATTGACATCGGATCCTTGGTAGCGCCGATGCAGAATGCCTTCAAGATTGGCCTAAGATATCCTTCACACTTACAGAGTAGTCTTTATATGTAGATTGTTGTCCAGAATGATACACTTATAGCTTCAAGGTCAATTTACTCATTTTTAATTTTCTGTTGATATGTTTGCCGTTAAAGGCATCGTTTTAATTTGCTCCAATAGTTTCAAAGCTGCTGTGTACCACACTTTCCATTTCCAGCGATGGTGCATAGCATTAGTGTCAAATTGTGGGTCAGACTCTGTGAAATGCATTTGGTCTGCTGCTCCGCAAGGAAGACAGTCAAAAGCTAATCTTTAACAACAAAGCACGTATCCACCACTTGCATCAGTAGCTATGGATGCACTGGAACGCTGGCATCGACTATATCCACGCGAGTTGGAAATTTGGCTGCCTACAATTGTTCGATGCTTAAGTGATTACATGGCTGAGGTGGAGACCACTGAGCTGTCTGATAGTTCGCCATCTGACCTGACAACACTCGAATCAAGCAGCAGTCGGGAAAGCCTATCACGGCTACAGTTGGCGCGATTGAAGAAAACCAGAGCTCAGGCTTCTCAGGTGAAGAAAAAGGGAAAGACGATGTTGCTCTTACCTGTTTTCAGAAGACTGCCACATTTGGCGAAAAATGGTTTTCTGATGTTAAATTGATTGTAAGGGCTGATGAGCACGTGTATTCAAATAAAAGATGGTATGGTCTGTCATCTTAGGATCATAGTTCGATTTTCCAGATTTCCCACTTTTATAGTCAGTTTTGATATCTCTTTTTTCTTTTACGTTTAGCGTATATATATAAAGTTGCTGTTTAGACTTTAAAGTACATGAAGCAAGATGCCAATTCTCATTCTCCTAGGAGTTCATGTTGTTGTTTGGCTCTTGATCCAGGCTGGACCTTTCGAGCTGACACAAATTCGTATACAAAAGTTTTTGGGACAAATTGGAGGATTTAATCATCACCTAGTGCCTGAATTGAACTTACTGCAATTGGCTGGCACTGGTGGCCTTGCGTGGGATTCTGTTGATCGTCTACAATTCACTATACCGTTCAGGGATGAGAAGTACGACATCTGGCTAGGTACCGAACTACTGAATGTTGCTCCTTCTGGTTTTTCGTTATTTATGTGTAACATTTGCATCGGGCTCCAGTTACTTTGAGAGTCCTGTGTTTTGATGGCTTATAAATTTCGGACGGATAATACGTTATACTAAACACTGGGACCTATGACTTGCACTTAGCGAGGATTTATTTTTCATCATTTTACTTAGCTTTTTTTGAAAATAACGGATGAAGATTACTTTCACGTGCAGATCCTCTTCTATCTAGAGTAGTGGAGTTGGCTGTTTCGTCAAGTGACCGTAGGATCAAAGTAACAGCGAGCGAGCTTCTCCAGGCTTTATCCTTGGTCATGCTTGGGAATTCTGCAAAAGGTCCTCTTCTTCGGAAAAATGAGAAGGATCAATCGGTAGGTATTACCACGAAGTGTTTTTCAACATACTCTACATTTTGATACTGAACAAGCAAATTGCGCTTGTGCTCCTCGCTTTCGAATCACCATAGTCCTATTGAAACTCGCGTCAAAACATTCAAACAGCTGATTTGACCGGAGTGTATTATGTGAAAATTTATCCTCATACGAAGACCCAAACAATAGAAGTGGACCTGAGAGTCCTCTTTCTTTTGCTTTTGCAACTCGCTCCAAGTTTCGATGGACGCTTTCTTACTTTTGTAATAGCACTCAAATTCCACGATGACGTCGACAACGTTCTAACTCTCACGTGCTAAGTATTTTCTGCTCGAAGGTTTATCTGGACAAAATTTACAAACGACTTCTTCCAGCCGTTCTTCGTCTGGCTGTTGATGTGGAGCAGGTATACTCGACTTAAAAGCATTTAGGGGTGTTTACTGGATCGATACTTGTCCGTGTGAGTGAGTGATTGTAGGTAGAACGCATTTACATGGAAGGCCTCTGAACTCGATGTTTGATTTTATAGGTTACACGGCAGCTGTTCAATGAGTTTGTCAAGCAGCTCATACACTGGTTCACCAGTAACTTGCAGAAAGAAAATCCTGAGACAATGGCACTCTTAGATGCGATTCTTGATGGGCTTGTGGATGCTGAAAATGGCTCGCTCAGGTCAGGCGGTTGTCTTTGCTTCGAAGTACAAAGAATTCCACCGGATAGTTCATTATGTTTACAAGGTTCTGAAACGGTTTCTCTTTTGTTAGAATATGAAGAAAGGTCTCCTTTTAAGACGATTTTCCTGTTCATGTGCAGAGAGTTTTGCGCGTCCTGTTTTGGAGAGTTCATGTCCTGGTCTGTACGGCATACACTGCCGGAGGTGAAAAATATCATCAAACTTTTTTTCCTCCCTTAAAGAACGAGACAGGCCTTATAATTTGTAGGCGGCTCGTTGTTGTTTTTGAAGTTAAGTTACCAATGTTGTTGTTGTACGTTACAGAACGACGACTTCGTGAATATTGCTTCTATGCTTCGTCGACTTTACAATCGAATGGATCACCCAAATCCTTACAAGCGGCTAGGTGCAGCAATGGCAGCTCACCGAATATATCCAGTCTTGAGGGGAAATCCAAATATAGTGGATCGTTACATTTTTGAGTTGATATTTTTCTGCGTCAAGAGTTTGCGACTCGCTGAGTCTGATGACGTCCAAACAGGTACTACGAGATTAGTACCACTTATGTAGCTCCTCCTTGACAGGTTGACTGCATGCTGCATAGACGTCAGCGTTGTTCGTGCCAGGTCTTTGTGGTTGCCGTATCATCGCACAGAGTTTAGATTCATATCTATCCAGAATACATCCACACCTTCTTATTAACGTAAGTGAGAATAATTTTATTTTGTCCAAAACCTTAAATCATGAGTCTGGAACTCTTGGGGCAGCCGAACAGAAGAGCAGCCAGAGGGACGCAGTGCAGGAACTTATGTGTTGGAGCGTTGTGGTATGCAGGCACCGCTAAGCAGGTGAACAAGACTTTAGACGAGTACATGAAGCTGGTGGAGCGAAATATATCTGCATTGCAGCGCTCAAGGAAAGATAGACCTATGTTCTTGACTTTGGATGACTTCCTGGAGTGGCTGCTACATCAATCAGGACAGTTACAAGAGGCATGTCGGTCAAGATGCATGAGAATCTTAAGCTATATTTGTCGTTTACTGCCGGGTAAGCTGTATATGATCATCAGGTGGAATAGTCGACCATTTCCATGTTCCGACTTTCTTAGGGTCGAACGTTTTTTGCAAATAACACTGTGCAAACTGAAGGTGATGCCATGATGATAATGTCAATATCACTCCAGTTCGACAAGTTTCAGTAGCTACAGATCTAATATGGTGATAGTGGTTACGTATAGACGTCGGCTTCCACCTCGTTCTGGTTCAGTAAGTTTTTGGATTCATCCTCATCAAATAGTCAGCTGACGGCATCGTTCTCAACCTGCAGCGGGTTCCTTGGCAAGTTGGTATCGTTCAAAACTGGACCATGGCGCGGACATGGAAAGCATCATTGGAGTTTTTAATTATGAAGAAGAAGATCGACCATTTGATGTTTGGTCCATTGAAGAAGCTCGACATCAGCTGGCTGTCTTTACTCGGTCGCTTCATTGGTATGCATGGGCATTAAGACAGGAAATGATAACCACAAGAGAGCTGCTTGGCAAAACCAGAAGTAGTTTCGTCGTGAGTAGTTTTCTTCACCGAGTTTTCACCGGGCATGACTCAAACTCTGAGTGGAGTTCAGTAACTCCTGGAGAACGAGAATCACATCGTAAGCTGGTTTGTGGTGCTATAGTCCATCTCCTCGGCTATATCAGGCAAATCGTTGACAGTGAATTGGGAACTAGAGAAACCGGAGTTTTTTTACCTCGTCGAGTGGATAAAGGAGCGGTTGATATGCAGCTCATGGAGGGACTCCTACCTTTTTCCGAGCCTGACTTCTTCGAGTTGATGTGCCTAGCTTTGCTGCGTCCCCGCGACTTGGGCTTCGTGGCTACGGATTCTCATCACGCAGAAGAGCTTGCTAAATTATCTCTGGGTGTGATTCAAAGACTGTCAGTTGTGTCTTCCGACTTCAAGGAGGGTTTGACGAAGAGATTGATGGTCCTACTTGCTGATAACAAGTTTGACTTGAGTGGTATTGACCTCAGTCTTGATGGAAGTGGGAATAGTGGATCTCTGGGTGTCGAAGATGCAATGAGCCTTCTGAAGGGCTATCAACAGTTGCATCTTTCAGGATCTTTACTATCTGTACTAGGAAAGAAGGAAGGAAAGCAAATGGGAGAAAAGCTGTTAGCACGAGTTTTTCAATTTGGACGCGAGTTTCCTCCAATACTTGAAACTATTGCATCAGAAATGGTTAGTCTGTCCCTTGCATTAGGGACAAGTGTACAACGGCTTGTGGAGCTTTGTCTGGACGAGGAAACCATCAGTCTCCCTCTGCAAACCCGGAAGGCAATGCCTGGGGGAATTTTCTATTTGAACTTTCGGCGATTGATCGTTCAGCAGGTCAGGTTCTTCTTCAGAGATTGTTTGGCTTTCATCCTAAAAGCTGCTGTAGGGAATCGAACGGCAAGGCTTCTTATTAACGCAGTTCTGGATGATGAAATCAAGTCGATTGAGCAAGGCTCAAGTCTCTCCAGGGATATCTTTTTGAAGGAGATGATTTTGCATCTGAAGTGTCTGCATCCCTGTTGCGCATCATATGCCGGACTTGCCGACAAGCAATTTTTTCTAGAGATTCTTCAGAAGGTCCTGTTGCTTGACCTCAGGTCGGAAAACCTTCTCCAACACGATCAATCATCTCGCAGCTTCATTCAGGAGTCCTTCATTTCTTGTATAGATGGAGCCGAGAATGCAGGAGACAGCATTGATGGTATTTCAGATAAAGAAGCCAGCATCACCTTGAAAACTCATGTCTTTGTTCTTGTACCGTTATTTTTCAAGCCCACTTTTGGACAAGAATTCCAGTCTCGTCTATGCAGGTCCTTGACCAAGGTGGTTTCGGACAATCTCCTGGTAAGGGAGGCTGACCTACCCAAGGGCTCAATCCAGAGGGCCATGTATACGAGGATGCTAAGTAGACTGCTCGAAGCTGTATCTTTGAGTTGCAGTGTAACTCTCTTAGAGATCCTTTTTCCTCTTCTTCTTGATCCTCCCAAATTTGCTGTGAGAACGTTGTTCGACTCCCTTGAACTTTTGTCTCAAAATATTGGCGAGGAAAGAACAGCTTGTTTGAACCTCTGTATCCAATTACTGGGTGACTCGACTAAACTTCCACAATTGAGGAGAGCTGTGATTGATAGAGTATTTGTTTCTCTGATGAACGCGGCTTCACCACTATTTGTGGCAGACTGGTACTCCAAGCGGATTAAAGTTATTGTCGATGCGTTAGGAAAACCAGTTAATAGTATAGACGCAGAGACAGAGGAGGAATGTCTGGTTGTAAAGGTGTGCCACTATTCACTTTTAGAGCTTCTTTTCTTGAAAGTTGATGCTCCTTTGATCAAGGAGAAGATCACTCCTTCAGCATCAAATGCATCCTTGATGAAGGTGACTATGAGTGAGTCTCGAGCCAAAAACGATCCCGTGACTTGTCTCCACTTCGAAAATTGCACTTTGTGGCGAGACTTGCACATTTCGGCTTACAAGGCTCTTGCAGCAATCACTCTCCGTACTCAAGAGCAGGAGAAGGTCTTCGGGCTCTTGTTTAAAGAAGGGTCTACAGGTATGATTTGGCAGCACCTCGTAGACACTATCAAAGTTTATAATGAGTTGCCAGTGGAGACGAATCAGTTAGCTTCCTCCTTTCAAACTGTTAGAGGGATGAGGGATGAGCGGAGATCAAGAAAGACTGCTCAAGGAGATATCAGTGCTAGTCTTAGCACCCTTTCTTCTCAGTATGTTGTTAACATAGGTTTAAGCCAAGAGCCGGCAGTGATCAGTTCATTTGTCAGCCAGTCCAAGGATCATTCGGAAGGTGACTCGGCTAGTTTGGGATTGGAATTTAATCTTGGAGAAGGAGAAACGGTCGCTAGCGGGGACAAATCTGTTCAGGAAAATAGTAGTGTCTCTGATCATATGGTCGATACGATACCTTCAGATCAAGACGATTTTGACCAGCATCCATGTATGGAGGTATTGTTGAAGTTGATAGAGAGGTTACATTCTAAATTTGGAAGTGGGAATCGGGAGATGCCAGAGTGGATGAAAGCTTTGCACTCTACCTTGCAAAATGCGGGTACACACATTAACATACGTCTTTTCCTTACGAAAGTGGTGGTAAGAACCTGGAGAGTGTTTGCTCCGTTTGCGCAAGTTTGGTTCATCCCAGTTGTGCAGACTATCCTTATCGATCCTGAGAAGTCAGGAGGCATGGCCTTTCATTACATGCTGAGAGACATCTGTATAACGATCTTACAGTGGAACCTCCCGTGTCCTCCAGACCCAGGAATGGCATCAGAATTCATCACGCACTTGATGAGAGTTGCAGCTCATCCATCTAGTCCGGTTTTGCGGGCAAATGTTGATATCATTCGAATGTTTATAGATACTTGGAAGAAAGTTCTCCAGTTTGACAAGAACATCATACTAGAAAAACTGGCTTTCGGTGGAAAGGGTGCCAGTGGTACAGATCGTTCTGTAAGAATGCAGAGAGCACTGGGCTTGCAGCTATTTGGGGCCATAGCAGCTTCAGGCCTTCCGTTGTATGATCCTGCCTGTGACATGTTCATAGAAAAAGATCTCTATCAAGTTTTGCTTCAAAATCTGAACTTCAAAGGCAAGGAGATCTACGAGGCCTCTGGAGAGTTGATAGGGATCGTGCTAAAACAACGACACCAGGCTGCTCAGGATTTTAGGAGGCCGTTAGACGAACAGATGCTTGAAGCGCCTCTAAAGCAATGTCTTCTGAAGTTTTGTAGAGAAAGTAACCTTGACTATTTCTTAAACATCTTGTACAAGATAACCTTCCGATTCCCGCAGTATGGTGAAGCTTTTGCCTCCCTTCTAGTTGACCTACTTCCCAAACTGCCGGGCGTGTTGAAAGTGATCACTCTCGATATTTTCCTGCGCTTTCCTAGCTGTCTAAGGAGTCTCCTCAGCATGCTTCTCCCTACTCTAACAAAGATATTAACTCATCGGGACGAGTTTGCCCAGCTCAAATGCCTTCAGCTTCTGCTGGAGCTGATGAAGGATGTGCCTGATCAAAGTATTCACGAGAAAGTACTGCATGTTGTTTGTGAGACATTCCCAACTCATGAGAGCGTGGATTGCCGAAGACTGTATTATGATCTTCTCATCTGCCTCCATGCGATAGAGGGCCTCAAATCTGACAATTTACTTATCCGGTCTTTGCTCGCTGGGCTGACTGATAGCGCGGAGATTGTGAGATCAACCGTGCAAAAGTTCTGGAGTTCCATCTTATCACAGAATTTGCGAGAGCGATTATCACAAATGATCAATCTGATGTACGATCCTTCCGTGGAAGAAAATTGGGCGCAGTTCACCAACGTTCTCCTCCTTAAGGTACTCATAATTCAAAGAAATTGTCACATTGTGCAGTGTAAGTCGGATTTTCCTAGTGCTAATGTTTATACTCACTAGTATACATTGATTGTTGAGATTCGTGCTTAAGTCGCTTTGAAGTTTGTTAGAGCTTGCTAAAATAGTTGACATATCAGCGATCTAATAAGGGTTCGAGTCAAAACAGGGTTTGTGCTTTTGACCAAACCAGCTCCTTTCCACCTCACTAGGTAAATACTGTGCAATTCCGTAGGTCAGAAATCTTTCCGAACATTCTCTTTGGCTTCTGTTGCTCTCATGCCCTGCAGCTCTGCAATGCAATCGTAGAATGAAGAGCACTTATACTGTCCTGACTACTCTGAGTGGCTGCGTTAGTGAGCATGAATTTCGTGAGGGCTCAGTGTTAGTTTCAACCTGTGACATGGTATCAGAGCTCTTTCCTTTCAGGTCTGATCTACTATGGAGCTACTTCTGACATTGAATCTTAGCCCTCCAATATGGGGAGAAGGATCTCTCCTATATATATATATTTATATATATTTATATATATTTATATTTATCAATGATTAATGCTTCAGTACTTTCGGTTTCAAACATCATAGTTTTCATATTTCCTCCTAAGAAGACTGATTCGGATTTCAGGATCATATTTCCTTCTTATAAATTGCTTCCTTGTGTGCCTTGCCTTGTGTTTTTGCCAGCTCTGCGAAGACTCTGTGGACTACAAAAGACCAATTTTCAATGCGCCGCTTTCAGATTGTGAATTTCACGAGTACACCATAAATACATCCTACTTGGGTGGTAGCTTGCCAATGACACCTCTTTTCTCACAATCACAAGCCTTCCCTTCTTCTCAAGATAGTCGCTCACAAGCAGTGCTAGCATCCCAAAATTCAAAAGAAGATGACGAAATGATTCCCAGACAAGCGGGGATGATCCGAGCAACATACACAGCAACTTTATCCCAAACTCAGGATACACTCTCTAGCTACCCCCTAGCTAGTCAAGAAAGCTCGTTGTTTGCGATGTCGAGAAAGTCCAGCGTCACTCACACCCAGGTAACTTCTCAAGAAACCGGATCATCAACTGATTCATTACCAGGCTTGAGGAGAAGGATTCCCTTGGCAAATGCTGCTCGTTCACAAGTTATAAGAAGCGTTTTGAACGCAAATAGAAGAAGGGAAGCACGCGCAGCACAACAAGCATCGGAGCGAGCAAACAAGATTCACATGATGAGGAGTTATCGTACAGGTCTGACTTCCTCCTATGTCGTTAGAATTTCTCCCCTTTTGCAGTTTTCTGGAAATAATGTGATCAGGTTGCTGTCTACTTTCTCTTAAAAGATTAAACACGTGGTAAAGAACTTGACAGAGCCATCGTATCCTTGACAACAGGTGAGTTGCCAGATATTGAGATCACGCATGCCGATATTCTAGCACCCCTTTCTTCACTAGCTGAGAAGGATGCCACGTTTGCAAGACTGCTGGTTACTGTCATTTGCAGAGCAGTTTATTCTCAGCCAGCTGGTCGACAGGAAGACATTACCTCAGACATCAAAAGCCAGATGACACAAGGAATAGGAAAGGCCTTGGAGAAGACCAGCAATGGTATATCCTTTGTGGGCTGCATAGAAGCAATATGCTTGGAAGATGCAACAATCTGGATCCAGCCAAGACTCATAGGCCAAGCGAGTTTGAAATCAACAAACTTTCATTCTGGCATTCTGCTGTTAGAACAAGAATTGTTGCACGAGACATTCAAAGAAACCGCCACTCCAGGCTCTAGCAGTAAACGGCAGAAGGGAGCAGCGGGAAAGGTCATGAAGGAACAGCGAAATATGCAGGAAGCTTGGTTGGAACTAGCCCATCTGTACAAGGAACTTGGCGAGGAAGATATTGTCCTTTCAGTTTACCAGAAGAAACTAACGGAGAAACCGATCACTCAAAAGGCACTGGAAGCTCAACTCGGAGGTGACCCAGGCAGAGGACTTATACTGTACGACCAAGCACTTGACACAGTCGACGAGGATTCTGGTATGCAAGATGGACTTTCTAATTCTGCTCTCTCTAAAAAGAGGCCATCAGTGGCAATTTTGATGACTAGTTTTTTTGAAGAAGACCACGAAGAAAATAGAGTACGCAGTGGTTCCCGAAGAGTTTGCACTGTCTAGACTTGCTTACAACTCGTTGTTCTCTGGGGACGGAATTTTTACTTTTTTTTTTGTAACTGTGGTTAGTGTATATCATCCTAAGTAGAGAGGATCATGATAAGCCTTGGTACTCCCTATGTCAAATTCTGCACGTGGATTTGACCTACGTTTCTTTCCAGGTTCTTACGGTGATCAAGCAACTCAGGTTGAGCAAGACATCTGGTACAATCAGCGGCTTGCATGCCTATTGGACCTCAATAATTGGCAGCTGCTGTTAGAGGATACCCTCACACAAGTACGAACTGATGATTCAGCAGAGCCAGATCTCCAAAAGCTTTGGGAACCCAACCTCAAGGATCCATATTTAGGTTTGTTCGTACGAGGAGCAGCCAAACTGTCCACGTATGGGTCTTTGGCAGATGAATTCGTCCAATCCTCTTTCAAAGAACCGCTCAAAAGAGAAGTTCTTTTAAAGAACTATGGCACTCAGCTCGCAACGTTAGCTGTAGTTAATGACCAATTCGATCGGGCTCGATATTACATCTCATATTGTTATAAGAGTTTCAGGAACCAGTGGGCTGCACTTCATCCATTGGCCATTGGAGCAAGACATCGTCAAGTGCAAAAGCTCCAGAAGATCACAGAGTTGGATGAGTTTGTTGAAATGATGACTAATCAACAAAGTGAACAGTTACCGAGGTTTCTTCATACTCTGTCTACAATCTTCCAGCCTCTACAATCAGATAGCACATTTCCTGATTGTTTGTATAGAAGAAATATCCCCGCGGCGCTTATTGGGCAGAAGGCATTAGCTTCTTCATGGGTCGTAGAGGTCACATTATATTTAACATTTTTTGTTTCCTCATCCAGTTTGATGACATGATCATTATGTTGCAGGAAACTTGTGGAGTGGAGACACCGTTGGCCTTCATCGAAACTGGATAGTGTCGAAGCATGGGATGATATCGTGAAAAATCGTCTGGTCTTTTTCCATAAAATTCAGGGTCTTGTAAATAGGCAAGTCTCAACAGGATCCGTGCTCCTTGGAGCTACTGATACCAGAGACAAGAAATCAGAAGCTCTTGCTTCCAAACTTGATCAAGAACGTGCCCATATTTTCCATCAAGCGGCTGTAGGTCTCAGAAAAGTTGGTGCATACAACGCTGCACAGGTTCTCTCCACCTTGATACCCTGTGCTACGATCTATATGAAAGTCAAAGCAAAAAATATTTTGTCTGCACATTACATGAGACCCTTGCATCCAAGCATTGAGTGCGCGAAAAGTGCAGCCCAGGCTTTAAGCTCATGCAGGCTATGCCTGCTGGATTGCGATCTCATTAAAAAAAGAGTCAACGTTGCAGATGCTATGCAGCACATTTGAACTTTCTGTGCACTTATGTACGTATGCATGTCAAATCTGTTGTGCCAACGAAGTGCTAATTTGCAAGTCACCAACTGTTGGATATATTATTTACTTTCAATGAGACTGTTGGGGTGTTATACGGATGACATATCTTGGGAGCTGAAAGAGGGTATCATCTTCTGTGTGCAGAGTTATATGGAGGAGCACATGGCTGCCCATCAGGGAACAGTGAAGAATGGCGCACTCGATTTCAAATTCTTCAAGGGACTTGTTAAGCTTCGTTGTCTGCAGGCTGATCGCGTTAAGCTCATCGAAGCCAGTGAAGCAACAGAGATGCTGCAGCAGGTGAGTTATCTTACAGTTCTTTAGAAAGGCTGATTTGGTCTCATGAAGAACTTAACATACATACATAGTGGGTTCCATAATAGGTGTTTGACTTCGATTCGCTTCTTGAAAGTGTTCTCCGGGTCTCGGAATCACACTTCAAAGAGTAGTGACTTTTCAACTAGTCATAAGACTGATTAAGAAGCAGAACTCGCTAATTTCCAGATTTTTCTCCAACACTGTCACTGAAGGCTGCAGATCACATTTCTTTGTAATGTGTCAATTCAGGTTTTGAATTATGTCAAATCTACCGCTCAGAAGCCATGGGTTGAGAGCAGTCACGACTGGCAGATGGGCCTGAGATTGCTTGAAGCGACTGTCTCATCTCAGCTAGCTTGGATGAACCTTGATCAAGCGTCCAAGCTTGACACGAGCTCTTCTACTTTAGATGTTTCATTGTCTTTGCTTGGTTCTGCTTATGGTGCATATTCGGATATTGTTTCAGAGCAGTTTCTGGCTCTAGGTAGGGAGAAACCAAAAGCATCTCGCCAGCTGGCGAAGATCTCTCTCAGTTTTGGTCTCTTTTGTGATGAGCTGCTTAAGGCAGCAAAGAGTATGGAGTGCAGGGATGATATTCGGTCTGGGATTCTCCAGGGACATGCCACAGCAAGGCTTCCACCAGCGAGTGCCTATCCCTCCGTTATCGTCAAGCATATGATGGAAGCAATCTCACTGGACGCCTCCGTTCGAGCTCAGCACGGACTTGCAAGGGTTCTATCTCTGGTCGGCCAATATCCAGAAACGCACACCCAGTTTGCTGATGTCGTCAAACAGGTTCCCTGCTGGGTCTTCATTTCGTGGATACCCCAGATGCTAGCAGTAATGGATCAAGACGAGGGTAATATTCTCGTTCCTGTTCTCGAGAATGTTGCTAAGTTGTACCCACAAGCCCTCTACTTCCCATTCCATGTCAGTGTGAAGGACTTCGGTCCACAAGGACGAAGGAAAACCAGAAGACTGGCAACTCTGTTGAAGAGTGTGTCACTGGAAGGCATGGTTCGAGGATTAGAAGATCTCACATTTCCCGAGCAAAGGTTTCGAGATGGCCTGTCTCAAATGAAAAATTGCCTGATAGCTGGTGACAAGGAAAGGGCTCTTGCGGTATTTGCTGAGATTTACGAAGACTGCCTGAATGTGAATGTCATGCGCAAGTCACTTCGTGGAGCTGGTGAATACAATCTCAAATTTGGTCGTGATTGGTCGAAGCGAGTCATAAAGGCTCTGGGAGAAAATGGAAGCAAACTGGTCAAGATGGATGAGAAGAAGTTTATGTCAGCTGTGGGTGACCTCCTGGCAAATCTGCAAAAAGCCATGCTGAACTTGCAAACAGGAGTGATGAGTCTGGGACATTTGTCTAAATGGATGGCCGACTTTGACCAGCAAACTCAGATTTCTACGAACCAGGAATCTTTGAGTGGCGGAGGGGGAAGCTCCTCTAAAGCTGCCTTCAGAAGCTCTGAAGGTGACATTGAAATACCTGGTCAGTATGCAGGCTTTCGTGAACCTAGCCCTGACCTTCATGTCAAATTGCTGGGCTTCGATCAAACACTGATCTGCTTAAGCTCGAAACAAAGACCAAAGGTTTTGACAATGAGAGGGTCCGACGAGGAGGAGTACAAGTTCGTCGTCAAAGGTGGCGAGGACCTCCGGTTAGACCAGAGAATCGAGCAGCTCTTTGAAGTGATGAACAGCATCTTACAGAGGGATTCGCAAGCTGCTCGACGGGGTCTGACAATCAGAACATTTGCCGTCGTTCCAGTGTCCAAGTCTTGCGGATTGCTGCAGTTTGTGGAGAACACATGCGTGTTGGAGGATGTGATCAAGGATGGGCTGCTCTGCAAAATGCCCAATCTACGACGTGAAGGAAAGGATGCGCCTCTCGCATTCCTTCACAAACTGAGAGCCCAGTATCACGAGTGGATCATGAAACGAGGAGGACCATCACAAGCTCCCCCCGAGTGCTACCGGAACATGTACCAGAAAGCAACCAGCGATGAAGTGACACAGAAAATGAGCAGCATTGAAGCGCAGATGCCGTGGGATACATTCAGGGCGGGCGTGTCGAGGTGGGCCACCAGTGCAGAGTCATTCCTGGCCTTGAGGTCGCAGTTCGCCAAGAGCCTTTCCGTCATAAGCATCTGTGGTTATGTCGCCGGAGTGGGTGATCGACATTTGGCCAACACATTGGTGGACATGCGCACTGGGGCTTTGGTCCCGATCGACTTTGGCTACAGCTTTGGAACGGGAGTCATTCTGCTTCCAGTCCCAGAGCTCATTCCTTTCCGGCTGACCAACCAGCTGCTCAACTTTCTCTTGCCCTTGGATGCCCTGGGCTTGCTACGAACGGACATGGTGCACACATTGGCTGCCTTGCATGCAAGCCGGGAAGTCATCTCCGCGGTGATGGACGTGTTTGTGAAAGAGCCTCTGGTCGACTGGAAGAACGAGGCGATGAAAACAAGTAGTAATTTCAGAGATAGGAAAGATGGTGCGGAAATGGAATCAACTTTTGAGCAACAACACGTCGAGCTTAAAGTGGAAAACGCCCAGCGAAAGCTGGAGCTTTGGAACCCTGCTGCCATTACCATTGCAGAGCTGAGGTCATCTGTACACGCAAGGAAACCCTACTCGAAAGCGCTAGAATCAATAGTGAGGGGCAGTCCAGATCGCAACATGCGAGCTCGGACCATGGGCAACATCTGTCAATCGATCCGGGAACAGGTCGACTGTCTCATCGATCAGGCCACAGATCCAAATCTTCTGGGACGAATCTGGCAAGGGTGGCAGCCGTGGGTGTGATTCTCGGTGCTCCTTTTTCCCAGGTGATCTTTTTGGCCTCTCCGTTCCTCTCGATGGGACTTTTCTGTATATTCGCCTTTTGATCTTGAGATAGCGCCCGAGCTGAGATCGAGCCCAGTTATACATTTTTCCAATCAAAGCACTTTCTTAATTATGAAATCCACCAAGTCCGCATGCATGTCCCGTGAATGCAACCCTTAGAACACACGCTACCAGATTTGAAAGCTCATGCTCTGATGGCTAGATCTGAAACAGAAGACCTCGACGAAATGCCATCCTTTCGCTCGCCTACTGAGGGCAAGGCAGAAGTAAGCTTGCCCTCATCAATTCGATTCAATGGTATCAAATAAGATAAGCTGCGCAGCGGATTGTTCGTTCATCGAGTCGATCTTGCGACCGATCATAGTTCATGAAAGACTGCCGACGAGGTCAGCCTCTGGGTCTCATCTAAGTTCTCGTTGTAAACAAGATTCTGCAGCACAACTTGCGTTGTCACCTCTCAGTGTATGTTTCGTGGGCTAAATCTGTTTTGCAGTGATTGTTCCTCAGAGGAGTCTGTTGACGTCGACAGAGATCCGACTCTCGTGTTCTCTATCTTCGATCCCAGCCCTGAAAACCTCTGCGAGAGCAGCAGAAGATAGTCGGAACAGCAGCTGCTGCTACGAGTAGCGTTTGGGACTCATAGAATCCAATATTTTATTCATATTCACTTTCTTTACTTCCTTGAGATTATCTGCGATATTTTTTTATTGGTTCAAGTTTTAAATTTCAGTCCAGAAGCGGAAGAATGGCCGGCTGGCTGGAATGGTATCATTTCCATGGGCGCGAAATTATCGATCATGAGCAATTTCAAGTGAAAGAGCAAGCGAAACTGAAACGATGGAAGCACGTGCGATGGTATTATTTTATTTGTAATTTTTGAAGGGAAATCATGAAAAGCAATTTTGACCGGGTTTACCTGCTAAAAAATTCTGCCGTCAAACTCCACCTCTCGCGGGACCGACATTCTTTCTGGCTCGTGCTCGATGTTACTGGCGCGCCCCGGCCCAGACAGTCATGAAAAACTCATTCGCTCGGGCTTGTGTGCACGGCTTATCCTTTATGGCGGTTCCGACTAAAGTGAGCGTGGGTGAATAGCCGAAAGAGTAGCGATCCGACTTCGAAAGACATCGTCGTCTCTCGGAAAGTAAAGCGAGTGCCAGGGACTCTACTTCTACTACTACAGAGTACTGGGAACACTATAAAGCTGAAATTCTGGACACAAGAAAGCGGGGAAAATGAATAGGTTAAGCATCCGCCAGGTACCGAGCAGCAGTCGATGGCCTGGCCTGTCGTGCTCCCGATGGACGCCCGGCCTCTATGACGTATCTTGAACGAGGGAGATTGATTGATTCTTTCTATGTCGATGAGCCCAGCATGCAATCACAGCAGCAAGAATCCATTCCACACTCGTCTTTCGCATCTGGCTGGGAAAAGGTCGCGGACCCACTATCAAATCGAATCCCATCAGGTCGGGGTTATCACAAAGCATCGGACTGGATTCTAAACCCGTGTACTGCCACGCTTTGAGCCGTAGCGGTGCCGGACATCTCCTGAGAGAAATCACTCATCCATTCCTTTGTGCGGGTTCAGGCATTCGTACATTTGTTCGCTCGCTGATCTCTGAGGGAGGCCGGCCGGCCGCGAAAGCAGGCAAAGTGTGTGGGGGGCAATTCGCCTTTCGCAGAGGATCGTGCGTCCAATGGCTCGCAGTACAGTAATTGCAACCATGAGAATCGAGGACTTTCCATCGAGCGCATTCTTCAATCTCCACTGTGCTCTCCTCGCACATTCCTCCTGTACAGAGAGTGGATGTTCTTGTGTCCCTGGGAGGGGCTGCACTTTTCAGGGACTGCCGGTCGAGTGTGTTGCGGTGGTTAAATGAACCACGGTTGGACGGATGGACGGACCGACCGAGGGGTTGCGGGTGGGATGCATTGCGACGGAAGGAGGTGGGAATGGCGGTGAATGGAGCGGCAGTCGGTCATGATGGAGGAGGGGCGGAGAACCTACTGGAAGACAGGAGGTCGAGCACGGAGTTGGGACGGCACTGGCGAGAGGAGGTACCTGCCCCACCAAGTCGGTCCGGTCAACACGTTAATCAGCATTTAGGATAGATGAGGACCTTCGCCTATCAACGAGCATGGCGACGCACAGCGGGGAGTTACATCACGCGTCTTATCTTGACGTCTATGGGGCACAGCTTTAAGCGGCCTTTTAGCGGAATGGCCCCGTGCAGATGCCGGTCATCAAGAGGGGAGCCGCTCCGCCATCTCTCGTCAATAAAAAGCCACACCGCCACGACATCTCGACCGTCGGTGCCGACTGCATCCGGCGGTCGATCGTCGGGGGCCGGATCAGTGTCCGGTGGGTGCCAGCCAAATATGGGCGTACCGTGGGCGATCACGCTGGAAAAGGCGGGTGACGTGGCGGGAACGAGGAGATAACTCTGACGTGGTGGGCTACTAGGGTGACGTGGGAGCGAAGCGTCTAGGGTTCCCCGGCCTGGCCATGGCTATGGCGGACGCTCAACCAGGGGTCAGCTCTCTCGCAAGCTATTGAATATTCTCGGGAAATGGAAGCGCCTGATCTCACCCCCTTGCAATTTCTCCTTCCTTCGTCCCTTGCCTTGCCTTGCCCTTCCTCCTCCTCCCTCCCCCTCACTCCCCCTCCGTCCTTCTGATCCCCATTCCTGTCTGGTCTGGCGAGCTCGCCTTGCTCAAACTGCACTGAACTGAAAATTGCGAGCAGCAAACGACAAGCCTGTGTTGTTAGTTCGTTGGCTCATTGTGTTGTTGTTTTGTTGTCTTTGTGCGGTGTCCGGTGGCGTACGCTGTCTCCTAGTTCGGCTCGAATGATCAGTGAGTGAGGGAGTGAGTGAGGGAGAGAGTAGTGACGGACTAGAATGAGTGTGTAAAGAGTGAAGGAGTACTGGGAGGCAACTCGGCGTCCGTTGGCGATTTCTCCCCAGTCGAATACGGAAATGAATTTTAGCAGCAGTCAGGCCAGCGATAACCCTTAAGGTTCACTGACCTGAGAATTGTCGCATCCGCAGGTGAGTGATGACGGCTGTCGGTGCTCACTGACTTCCTTCGATTTTTCATCGTTTGTTCGTTGTGGAATCAGAAGCCGCTGGCTTGGTTCTACAGGGGGAAGACGACGAGGCACGCTCAGTGTTGAATTTTGTATTTGTCGTCTCGTCTCCTGTGCACACGGGATTAGTCATAGGGGCTTGGACGGTAATGCATTTCACTACCGAAGGCAGCTGAAAAGAGTGTGCAGCCTTTACATGAAGCTGTGGCTCGTGTATGGTGTCTCGTGATAGCAGAGGATGCATGCGAATTCTGGAGCCTCTTTGGCCTGAAGCAATTTGAGAATTGCATATTTAGCATGAGCTCTCACGGAGCACTCTGGTTATGCTATGAACCACTCTAGAGCACGTTGGATGGCTCGTCGCGAACTTTTGATGATTGTGCAGTCCTTATCATTGGACGTAGACCAACACCGACTACGTGAAGCCCACCAAATGTTGCATATTGTGTTTCTTCGTCAGAAGTTACGGTTTTGTTGCATTAGAGGTTCCAATATCTGCCCCCATCAGTGTGGTGACAGAGTTTTGAATTTGAACACCGTGAATCAAAGTGACATTTGGAGAATTATGCCTGTCGATTTCCAGGTCGGCGACAGGGTTTGGCATCTACAAACGAAAGGTCATCATTTACATTCGTTTCGTCACTCTTTAATGCCACTTTTGTGTGGCCTCATGAGCAGATTCTCATTTTTACCCATGGTGATGCGAGTCGTCACGCAGTACAGTGCAATATTGCCCATGATTTGATTGAGGAGGCTACGAATCTCCGTGCGAAGTTCTCTGAGTTATCACGTGTAGTGTTGGCATGCCGAAAGATTGTAAAAATTTTGTGCCGTTCACTGCAACGAACGACTGATGCGATGGTCAAGAGTGTGCGCTTGGATGTGTTTGTACGGGAAGTTCTAAACCAAAGTTAACAGCGAAGATGAGGCGAAGAATGGAGTCGCGTGCTCGTGATTCAACAACTAAGAAAGCCGTTTGATCACTCGTTAAATGTTGTGGGTTTTGGTGAGGTTGCAAGCAGCTGAGTACTGAGTACACATGTACAATGGGTAATATGCAGAGGATTGAGAGGAAGAAATCGACGGTTTTCCAAAGTACATGTGGATAAGCTGTTCAGAAACTTTTCTTCTCTTTGGAAAAGTAAGGTGGAGTTAACGGAGAAACATGCTAGGCGAAGTGGAGAGCGTTACTGATAAGATGGCGTCTTCAAGTTGTACGTCACCTTCAGTTAACGAGCCGATGTCAGGAACCGAGCCAACCTCAGCAGATAGCGTTTCGGAAGAGGAGCTTTCACTGGATGTAAAACCAATTATAGTTGAGACAACACAGGCTCCCTCCTGTACCGAGCTAGTATCAGTACAGTTACCGGCCATTAACACGACTACCACGTCTGCAACCCTCAATGTGCAGAACAATGAGAAACAACAGGGCGTTAAGAGGAAACGAAATCTTCCTGGAACCCCAGGTAAGGTGTGGTTTGTGGCTAAAGATCACGCTTGAATCATCTGGTCCGCCTAAGAAGAAACTTTTGTCTGATTAGCATGTTCACGTGAAATCCACAGTCTTGTACAGAATTATCTACTGTTCGATTATCCATCCCTAAGTCGAGGGATGGATAATTTGCGATTAGGGACTTGTACCAACTCTTGTACGAAGCATTAACTAGTCATTACAGGCAATATGTTTATATGGTGCAGTTTGCTGCACGGGCTTTGTACATATTTCTCCTGGTTGAAACGGGCGTTGTGTTGAAGTTGCAAATACCAATGACATATATATATGTCATAATTTATATTTAAATCTTGATTGGACGAGTTTTTGATATGCGCAGATCCAGATGCTGAAGTAGTCGCACTTTCGCCTAAGACGTTGATGGCTACTCACAAATTTACCTGCGAAGTTTGTGGTAGAGGTTTTCAGAGGGAACAGAACCTACAATTACACAAGCGCGGGCACAATCTTCCTGGTAGCCTGAAACCTAGAGCTAATAAAGACAAGGAGATTCGAAAGAAAGTCTATGTCTGTCCAGAGCCGACTTGTGTTCATCATGATCCTGCCCGGGCATTGGGAGATCTGACCGGCATAAAGAAACACTTCTGTAGAAAGCACGGAGAGAAGAAATGGAAGTGCGATAAGTGCTGTAAAAAGTATGCGGTTTTGTCAGACTGGAAAGCACATTCGAAAACATGTGGGACGCGAGATTATAAATGCGAATGCGGAAGTATATTTTACAGGTGAATTTTCCAGCTTCAAACTCCCCTTGCCTTTTTTAACTCCCAGCGTATTTAACGTAAAAATTTAATGATTATGAAGAGGTTCTGAACATATTATTCCACTCAAAAACCAAATATTAGTTGGAAATTCTAGAGGACAATTCTTCAACCTTACTGTCCATGTCTGCTCTCAAGAAGCGTGATTTTCATCGTTGGAAGGTTCGATGTTATGTTTTGGTAACGTTTCAACCTCTTTACGGGGAGGGGTCCTTTCTACAGATAGTCACCAAACTGTGGACTTGAATGAAACTGTTGGGATGATCTGTAGGTACTAATGAGATTCTTAGGTTTTGGTGTTTTTGCTTAGATTCGGAAATGGTGAATAACGGATACCTAAGCTGATTTTTTTTCTTTTTGCAGAAGAGATAGTTTTGTCACTCACAAAGCATTTTGTGATGAATTGGCCGAAGAGAGTGCAAGACTCGCCGCAGGGTCTAGTGAACCTCCTGCCCCCGTTCTTCTCTTGGATGCTGTAAGCAATTCGTCCTCAATCTCACTAGAACTACTCTTGAAATGTATTGAGCCCAAGGTGTAGGGGTTCTATAACCTAGTGGTGGACAAGCTACGCCCTTGCATGACGCAGCAGCTCACAAGTGTTCCTTTTTTCAAGTTGTTGGAAGTAACTTTGAGTCGAGATATAGGACGACGCATGCAACAGGTCTCTGCTTCATAATAATATATTATTGATTCCTTGGATGAAACTGGATCCCTTTTCAGATGCCTCCTGAGGACAAGGACGAACCTGTCAGCTATCGACAGCTTCTTGGAGAAGATGACATTGACGATAACGATCAAGCCGGGGCTTGAACCAGAGAAAATTAGAAGATTGAAAGACACTTTGGAGATTAAATGTGAAGAATTTTTCTCATTGAAAGGTACAGGTGTGGTGATCCCTATCTTGATCCCCGACTATGCTTTGAAAGCTTTTATCTCAATTACGAAATTGCTACTTTAGTGATTTTTGGAAGAGGTGCTAGTGACATCAGGGGTGAAATACTCGTGTAGTTTGTTTTTCCGGTCAATTTCCTACAGCTTCCTACAAGTAGTTTGCAGATGTATGTTGTCGATTGCTAAGACTTTTTCCTTGGATCGTCAGCTCCATGTTTGTTTCAGCTTTGTGAAACAAACACTGTCCAACAAAAAACCCTATCTCATCGCAATCAGTTGCATCTGTATCCTATAGCATTATCTACTGTGAGCGAATGACATAATTGAGTCGTTTCGTCTCAATTAATCTTTCTTCCCTTCCAATCCTTTTCCTAGTCACTAGCACCACACGCATGTATCAGTACATTCAGTTTCGGTCAGGGATAATTTCCATCAACAACGAGAAGCTCAGGTGGATGGTTATAACCTAGGTAGGTTACACTAGTGGGAAGGGTATGGTGTCACGAGGTCTTTAGGAAAGTTTTTGGATAAATACCTTCACCCCTGAATTCAATAAACTATCTTGCTGAATCAGGACTTTTCTTCAAGTTCAAGACATAGTGCTATTCGTATTTGTCGCTGTGATTAACACTTTGTTCTGGGTCCATGTAACAAGAAGTTCAAACGATGTCAAAGGACGAGACTTGAAACCTGGCATGAATGTTGGGAAGAACCACATTTTTGGAGAACTACTCAGCCAGGGCCCCATGGTCTTCAGACTATGGCTTATACAATCATATGAGAATCTCTGTATTGTACTCCGCGTTGTCCCATTTCCCTTCTTCGTTAGCATTTTCTAGACTGGGCTTGGGTTGTATAACTTCATCCTGTAACTGAGGATCACTTTATCTACAACGATCATCTTGCGGAGATGTCGATCTGGATATGCCTGTCGCTGTCATGGACTCATTATACACATAGATAACATATACTTTACATTTTAAAAAATTTGCCCCGGCAGTGTCAGCCCAGCATATGAATTGGTTTCTGACTATGGTGGTTGGCTTTCTGATATAGGTCGAGCACGCTACGCCGCATGAGATGATTTGTAAGAGCCGAGGACGCGTAAGGAATGGAAACTGCAGAGGTGAATTGTGCATCCTTTTTGAAGTACTTTTGCAGCCATTCCAGCTAGGAACTGGTCCTTTCTGCAACAGAGACTAGTAGAAAGCGTTCCGATTCTCACACTTCACTTGTATTGTACTCCGTTATAGAAGGCCCTGGGAGCTGTTTCCGACTTTGAAAGTTGAGCTAGAGTATCAACCCCACTCAGCTGCAGCTACCAACCCTTAGAGATGAGAAGATCTGCGGTATACAACCGAGTCTTATGTACTATTTATGGGTTACATTAGCCCGAAAGGATGTAGAGCTTTTAGATGTTCACACGAGCTGATTAGGATATTTTTTGTTTTGTGTTCTGCCTTGATTTGCAGTGGTTCATGTTACCAGCACTTTCTGATGTACAAGTTTTGCAGAATCTCTTTAGAGTTTATCAGTCCCATCACCATCTGTCTTCGAGATCTTTTGTGACCAAGTGTATACTGTGCTCGGCACTATATTTGGTGATTGTGATTGTAGTGCACGTAATGATTATCAGCTCGAACAGTTTGACACGGATTACAAAATCAATCTTCAATTTTGTTTTTTGTTAAGTCATCCAATCTGACCTAATATACATTTAGGTTCAAAATGACCATCTTAAAGCTAAAGGTTGCAGTTTAGTATAGCAGTGACGTGACGCTGGTGAATAAATGTGCGGAACCATTTCGGCTCAAGCTAAGATATGGTAAGTTTTCAGATTTCCGAACTTGAGGAAGTATATGTCTGTGCAGGTATGCTGCGGTTTAGACAGGTGAAGAGTTTATCTTGCCTTACTTGCAGAAGCATATCGTTGCGAAGTGCGTGGAGCCTGATGATACTACGTTCTCTGCATATGTACTATCATCGGTTTGTGACATGTAATTTGAACAGATTAACCGGATTGAGGTGCACTATACTTGAAAGCATTGGCCAGTTACGGAAGGAAAACGTCCAGTTAACCATGCGAAATCTGGATTGTTTGTATTTAGTAGGGATTGAGAAGTCCGGGTAGTTCAGTATTCAAGATATTTAAGATCTGGCGGTGGATGAAAAAGCAGATCCTGGTCTGTTTCTGATCAGATCAGAAACAGATCAGGTGGAGGAATCGGTGCAACGCCGATTTATATTATAAATTTGACTTACTTTGTTCAACGAAATTTTTAAACCATGCAGAAAATTACAATAGAACTAAATTTAAAAGAAAATGTGATTGAAAATTGCAACTTCAGACTGGAACTTACCCATATTAAATATTAGAGATCCTAGCAAAATCCAAGAAAACTTTTAGATCTTCCCGACGAGTGCATTGGAACCAATATGTTTTGCGCATTGAGCTTATGATTCTAATCTATGTAGTTCATACATAGATATCATCTAATCTCAATTTAAAGCTGTTGTTGTATTTCTATATATCAACTCTTAAAAATATTGATACCTCAATTTTCATCTGAATAAAACATTGTGAATGATGGTTACAGTATATGAAACCGAATTCTGCTTAATTCAATTCAGAGATCTCTTATTAAGCCAATCACCCTTCGGATCCAGAGGTCGCAGATCCCTAAAATAACTCGGAGACAGTAGCGGTTCTGGTCCTTTGATAAAGCTCTGAGACTGGCCCCAGAGGCAATAGCTGAGACTTTAGCAGACTTGGTCCGTTGATAAAACTCGGAGACCAGTCCTTAGACTCTATCTAGTATCTTTTTACTGGAGCAATATAATTTGAATATAATATCACGATCTTTGCTAAAACTTTTGAAGAAAAATATTAAGTTAGTTACTTCACTAAACAAGTGATTTTGAAATACAAAATCAGATTTGAACAAATGATTGGATTGATAGTACATCATTTTTGGAAAATGATAGTACATCATTTTTTAAAACAAAAAACTATAATCAATCATTAAACTGTCAATATACTTACTGGTATTTCCAATCTTTCAATATCATTTGGATTTCAAAAATATTTAAAATTCTTTCAAAATTTAAACAAGTTGTTATTTATAATAATTTTAAACGAATGATGTGATTGTGACTTATCAAGTGAAGAAAAAAAATACTTTGGATATCATTTCACAAAACATTTACACATAATAAAAAATTAGTAAATATACTATTTTGCCTTTGTAATTTTTCTTCTTGATATTTAGTAGTTTGTAGTTTGATTCTTGAATTTTTGTTTTATTTTCTTAGGTTAATTATTTAAACTTTACATATGTCAATCACAAATTATAAATTATTGATAATACAAACGCAGATTTATTATATTTGTTTGTACATTACATATATATACTAAATACTCATTTGCTAAATACAAAAAAATTTCATCTTAATATCAAACCATACGTGTTTTTAAGTGGTTTTTTTTTCTTAAATATATCGCTATACAAGTATATTGATGGATGAATTGGACTATATGTAAGAATGACGTTTGATATAGCAGATCAATGCATCTATAATAGACACCATAGATTGTATATGAAGATTTACTTTTGGTCATCATGTTAATTATATTTTGTCATATGGAGATGTTGTATCTCATCAAATTTTATACCACAATAGGCTGAAACGATCTTTAACGTTTTGTAAATTTAAAATCATTAATTTTCATTTATGTTGAATCATCCACTTGCTTCTTTGAACATTGTTCATTTACATATTCTAGTTTTTTTAATCCTATCGTAAAATTGTTGTAACATCCAAATGATATTTAATATGCATGTGATGTTATTTCTTTTTTGCAATATGGATTTGATAACTATGATTACAAATTTATCATTGTTTTAATCATAATAATTTTGTATTCGGTAGTGTTTTTAACAATTATACAAGTATAAAAATACTATGTCTATATCATACATATTTTTTTAATATTTTTCTAAGATATAAATAATTATTAGTGTATCTCATAAATACTTATGTATTTCAAATATCTTGCAAATGAAAATCTTATCAAATTAAAATTTTGATTGACGTATTTAGTTTCCATTTTTTATATAATCATAAAGAAATCACATAATTTAATTTTCAATTCGTGAAATTTGATTAGTTAATATATCTTCTGGATTTGTGGTGATATTAAACTCATGACTGAATATCTTATACCAAATGATGTATTCACTCAAAAATAATATTAAAGAGAATCCCGAAAAAATTCAAATTTTTCCAAAATATAATCTAAATGTTTTTCCAAAGTTTTAATATGAATCAACTTATGGTGATATTGATGCAAAATACATCTACAAATACTCTCAAAAAAAATTTCAAGTGTAAAAACAGATCATATGTTTTAAGTTCTAGTCAGTTTCATATAATTCAATCTGTTCTAATTTGCAAAAATCATCTACACATGTCATGTGTGACATAAAATTAACACACAAGTTTGAGTTTTTAGAAATATTTTATCATAAAAACTAAACTTCATTTTATGCTTGAAGATTTTATTGAGTAAGATTTATTAGAGAATATTCATAATGTGGCATTGAATGTTTAGATTTAAATGAATTTTATGCAAGTTTCTTAAGCTTCTCCATGCTTGTAACAGAATATATAAAATATGAATTAAACTTTATATCGATGTCAGCAAGAGGAATTTGGAGTATTGATTCAAGTTCAGTCTTAATAATTCAGTTTTTTTTTAATTTTACCCTTATAAAAAACAGTTACAGTTCCTGATTTTTTCTATTTAATTTGGAATTTAAAAATTCTTTTAAGTGAAATGTGGAAAATAAACTATTTCATATAATTCGGATACATTGATTGTGTACTTGATAATAACGCCATGCATGTTCAAATATATATCAACATTAGTTTTTCAATAAAATTATCTGGCACATATGTTTAAAAATTTTGTTATCATAACAATTTATGAACAATCAAACCAAAATGTAACGTTAACTGTACAATTTGTTTCATTGAAACATAATTATACAAAACGAATGAATAAATATCCAATCTTTAAGTATCAACAGATGACTACAATAATTCATATTTGTATGGGAGACATATACTGCGGAGTCCATACTGTACTCATGTCATGATAACGTAGCGAATGTAGAGTGGAAGTCGTTCGTCCGAGGCAAGCGAACGAGGTACACACTTTCGAAGTGATGTTCAAGTCTTGAACACCTAATAAAAAGTAGAAAAACTCTACTGGAAGTCTCTCCATGCTTTTCCTTGAAAACAACAAGAGCCTTGAAGAACCCTCAAACTCGCTCACGAACTGGCTGGCAACGCGGTTGAAGTCAGCCAGTTGACGGACGGTTGTGGAAACTTGGACATTCATCAGTACAAGTCTCCGAGTAAAGAACATAACACTTACCTGGTACGCTCTACAGAGAATCAGTCTTGCTTGTGGACCATCTCTGTTTTATGCTGTGTAGAGTCTATTCCACCGGAATGTATCGGTCAGTCAGTGTTTTGGTACGAACTGATCGCACTCCAGATTGGAGATTTCAGATTTAAGAGCTGGGCCCTTTCTTCTTGACTTCACTCACTCACACACTCACTCACTGAGCTAAGTCGTCACGAAGTACATGTGGAACTCGATTGAAGCGACATAGTCCGAGAAGTAAATAAACAACACCGAGCTGGGTCTCGAGCCATGAACCGACCGTCTCACTTGCAAACATACACGCCAGAAAATCATGACTCCAGCGAACGGAACCCCACACCGTTCCTATCTGAAGATCGCATAGTCCGCAACATTTACACTCGCACATGTCTCCCTCAATCGTTCGGTCAGTCAGCAGGCAGTGGACGAAAATGCTGAAGCTAATGGTTTATGAGAACCGATTGATTATTATCGTCTGCCGCCCACTTCGGGTGTAGAGATTTCGATAAGTGCGCACACCGGAGGTCACATGGAGAGATCATGCCTTAATTATTGCCCAACTAACATTCTTTGGGCGTACTGTATACCGGTAGCTATTTCATAGTGAGAGGTCAAGTGGTACTTTCTCATTGAACGAGTCATGCTAACAGTGCGACCTCACTTCAGTATCACCATCATTTAATTCGGTTCGGACGAACGTAAGGCTCCTACGACTTCGCCATCGCTCCTGTTGGTGGGGGATCACGGGAGTTTTTCCTTCTATTGTGATCTATGATTGAGTTCTCGTTTCTGTGTCTTTATTTGACCATGTCCTTTTCATTAACTTGTTGCATTCCCAGTGTTGTACGAATCTTGTCCTCTCCTTGCTATGGTATACCTACCAGGCCTGATACTATTTTCGCAGAAACTGTCATACTATTTTGCATCAATGGGATTTGTTGTTCTCACTGCATGTATTCTTCATTGGAAGAATACTTTGTACTCCTTGACATCTTCAGAGAGGCAGCACAGTGAATGCACATGATATGGCGTTCCTTGAATGATTGAGA